GACACAGACTTCAGATTTATCCAAGCATTAGGAAAGGTCATTTTGGATTTGTAATATTGAACATAAACTTGAGTCAGTCTAGGACCCCTTAGGGGACTTAGAGAATGCTAATTGAATGTTCACTCAATGAAATGACCAGTGAATTCCACCCAGCTCTGTTTATAGAAAGGTTTTATCGTCTTGACGGAACGCCAGTTTCAGCGTCACTCCATCGCCTCATCAGCATTCACGACAAGATTCTAGCGCTGCTGTTGCACGTAAAGGAGTGATATGTCATCACTCCTCTACACAACCACGGGCAGATGAGACTTCTAAGGGAAGCGAAGCCTGCCCCAAATCTCACTTCATGGTGCGATTTTGGAATTAATCGTATATCTGTGGTAGTATTTCTCAGAAAATCCCATAATAAAAACGGGATTTAGATGTGATCCAATGGCTTTTAGGCCATTATAAACATATGAATCAGCTTTGAATCCCTTTTGGTGTACCGGTGAGATGGTGAAGCAAGCTCAAGACAGCAGTCCAGTCCAGACGAGATGAGCCAATCTTTTGCTGTGGTATCGTGGGACCTACCCATTTCAGTTGAAAAGAAAATTGGTGAAGGCGATTGCCTTCACTTTTCACTGATATGTTGTAACTCTGTAATTGCAATGGCGCCTCTCACTGACGATGCCAGCTAAACGTTTGGGAATGCACCAACCCACTGGTCTAATGCTGAAAATCACACGAGACTAGGTATGTTCCACAAGGTCTCCCTAACACTCCGACACAATTCTAAAGCTAAAGGAGACTGCGACCAAACAGAAGGCCATACCGTTTTGGTTTTCATATCTACGATCTACCAGTTTCATTGTCGGAAAATTCTACCATCAGTCGTAAAATCTCTTAAACAACACTACAGTGAACAAATTATTTTTGGTGTAAAATTTTTTTAATTCTCCAGAAAACTTCCTTCAACTGAAATTCTATTTTTTAATATGTAATTCCAGTTTCAAGACTATCAGTTAATCGGTTATATGAGATATATTCACTCTATTTTACTTTAGGTGATGCAAGACTAATAGTAGAATTTTCCCACAATGATATGAGTAGAGTTGACGTGTCTATTGCATTTCACATGACTTATTTTTCGTTTATAAATAGGGTTATTTGATCAACTTAAACGAAATAGGGCGAATACATTGCGCATAACTAATTTACTGGTTGTCTCGAAACCCTATTTATGAACGAAAAATAAGTAATATCATCAATTGTCATAGAAAATGTAACTTTGCTTCATCGACAATCCTACCAAAGAATATGGTCTGGTAAATATCCAGCCTTCTTTACAATTCACATTCCCCTATGACCTAAGGGCACTCGCGGCAATCTGGCTTAATGGTTATGATGTCGAGATTATACTTTGCTCTGTCAAGGTTCGACTCCCGCTGGGGGTGTGATAAGACTTAGGCGAGGTCGAAACTGCAATGCATTTCTGCTTGGATGAGAAGACCTTTTGGTGAAGCAAGGCTGTGTGAAAATAAAAGAAAACCTCAGCTCTGCTCATATGAATGTTGGCAAATTCAACTAAGCGTCATTGTTCAGTTTAAACGAAATAGGATGAGCATAGCTCATCGTTTTGGCGTTTGTTTGAATGGACTCTCATGCTATCTGAATACATGTCGACATGAAGACTCCACATTGACTAGCCAGAACGACAGTCTCAGGCGATTAGTTAATGCGTCAACGATGACATGGTTAAGTGATTTCAACCAGCAAGTGAAGCATAGAACTGGGCGCTCTTCAACCAATCACCGAGGAAGTGGGTTGCCCCAGAACTCAAAACGTGGTCAGATCCGGCTGGAGCCTGCCATTACTGG